AGCAGTTTTAACACTTTTCGTACCGGAAACCTACTAATCCACATTCTCTCTTCCCCACTGCCAATTATTGACCGGAAAGACTTTAACTCTCTTTATTTCGCTATGTACTTACTGGCGAAAACCTAAATCGACCGTTCACCTCAGTAGCTATTAGTGGCAGAACTCTCATTAGCTGATAATTTGCTGCTCATGAATGTCGAAGAGTTTTGTTTGTTGTAAAGGTAAGAAAAGGAATTTAATTTTTTAGCCTGTCAATAAATGCTATAAAATAAGGACTACGAGCCAGAGATGGACATACAGAATCCTAAATGTATCTCTGTATGTAATATATATATCGCTTTTCCTCTTGCTCGCATTTTGAAATGTTTTGTTTGACGAAAATCAACTGTTCTGTTCTGCCTAATTTACACAGCTTGAAAATATAAAGATTGTGGCTACATTTATTCTAGATGTTCGGCTTTTAAGAACATTAGTGTATAAGTTTAAATTCCTGTAAAGTTAAGTAAAATGTTAATATAAATCAATATGTTCAGCATATGAATCTTCTACTTATTCATGTTTAATTCTTCTGTAAATTAATTAAGAAAATTTAAGAACATATTTTGAATGCTATAGTACAGGTTTCAAACTTTATCCATAAATTTGTATATTCATATTCAATTTTTCATCCAATTATCAATTTAAAAGCCGAAGCATTCATTCCTTTTCCTCACGTTACTTAACTTCATCTATTCTAAATGCAAAGAGAGACACAAATTTATCGCTATGGAAACAAAGACATGCTTGTTTGTTGTTGCAAACAAAAAAGGTAATATTTGAAAAGATACTATTTATATTATTGATTTGCCTTTTGGTGTAATCAGCAGAATGAGAAAAGGCTTTTGCCCAATAGCTTTATTGAATTTATGTCAGATATAAATCCCGACCCCGGGGATCCGACAGGGCGATAATATTTGATGCAACAGTTTGAAAAGTGAAACGGACATTCAGATTCGGAGAGATTCAGAGTGCAAAATCGCAAAACGAAAACAATAGTCTCTCAGCGACAAATCCGTTTGGACTAATAACTAAAAAAAAATAAAGAATTATTTGTTTGAGGGCCAGGTTTTTATTAGCCTGCTAGATTACAATTTAATAAAAAAATATTACGCGAAATTATTGAAATGAACATTTATTCAGTGCAACTCGTCATCACTGTCAGAACTCCCATCCATTAACTGAAACTCATCTGTGTACCCTTAAAGTATATAATAGCCTAAACTGCATCCCCAAATACATTGTATCAGTTCATCTTTACAACAGGCAGACTTGTCCTGAAAAATTTCTTTTATGATTCCTTTTTGAGCCACGGTTTCTAACGATGCTTGTGGAGTTGACTTCACCACACATCAGAAGCATCGACTTTCCCTACATGTCAATTTTTTGCCTTACCGAGTTAGAGTGGGTTTCTGTAACTCCCTTACGTTTTTGTTTCACCACCACTTCACCAAAGAGTGCCTTGCATTTATCAGAAGTCTTTTTCCAGTTGGAATGACTGGATCGTTAGGCACCGACGTTTTAGCCTTATTTAGCTCTTGTCATACAACTAACGCTAACAGTATTAAGAATACACTGTTATTTTAAAGGCATACTTTAGTAAAGTATCGGCTATTTTACTATCCTTTCAAAAGGTGTTTCTGTCATTAATAGCAATACAGTGTATCTTAAAAAATATTATTTTAATTTGCTTAGAAAAAAATTGTGAAAAGCTTCTTTTATTAAAAAAGAAAAAGCTAAATCCTAAAATCCGAAGAGAGTTTGAACTGAAATATTGCAAGGATTTTCGCTTCCGTAGCACACATGGCTTTATCGCTTTGTCTTTTTACTCAAGTTATACCTACATATATGCAATTCTTACTTGTTCACTATGATTTAAGCGATTGCATCAGGTAGGCTAGTAGAGACATTAGGTATTTTTTGAAAGCAGGAGAGATGAAAAATGAGCAATGCCCTCGTCGGGACTCGAACCACGGACCTCTCGAATACGCGCCGAATGTGCTGACCACTACACCACGAAGGCATGCTAAGAAGGCGTGAGAAATACCTTATAGGATAAATATGAAATTTTATAAAACTCAATATCAAAAAAATATAAATAACTATATAAAATTTTATAAAACTAATATAAATAACTAACTGTTATAATATAAATAACTAAATAAACTGTAACTAAATCTGAAAGCTTCTAGATCTTATATTGCAACCAAAGGGGCGTTTTATTCACTTACAAACCTTTCGAGAGCATTTGGGCTAATGCCTCTTTGGATTTAAAATATTTAAAAACAGCGTATCTTTAGAATTTCCGATAGATAGTCTCTCCCCCTGGAGATAAAAATGTTTTATTCAAGTTACATAATGCTGTAACAAAAGATTTTTAATATATTGGTTTATTGGTTTCAGCAATGTAAATACCATTTAACGCTTACTGCGGTTGCAATTTTTTTCCTATAATTACAGTTTTGTAATTCTAATATAGAGAGAGCTGTATACTATGCTTTTCACAAATGGTATGCTAAATTACTCTTAAATGAGTCGCAGATCCGTAGTTATCATATGAGAAATAAATCCAATAAACTAGTTTATAAATCTTTTTTTCCACGTGATACGTTTTAGTATTTTCATTAGAAATTTAAATTTTTATACGGGCCAAAGAAAGTTCCAATTAATAAATCCTATCTCGCTACTATTTTTTTAATATCTTCCTCTTAATGTGCAAAATTAGTTCAAAAGTAATTTTAAGATTATATGACTCAAAGCAAAGAGATAAATCGATAATCAATAAATTAAATTAATGACGTATAAATATATCATAAATTAAAATAACGAAGCTCATCTTATTTAGCACTGCGGGTAAAATAACAATTTCACTCGAAAACTGAGAAGTACCAGAGCTGGGCTTTACAAATATCTGATACTGTTCCCCCCCCCCAAAAAAATGTAGTTGATGTTGTTTCGAGTAATTTTGATCGTATGATGGTGAAAATATTTCATTCCAGTTAATTAGTCTATGAAAAACACTTGTTTTTATTTTCACTTTTTCCCATGAGACCCATATAAAAATTTAAGTTTTACACATTTTTTACTAAGAAGTATTAAGCACTGAAAACTTCCCAATTTAAAATTTTGAGACTTAATTAAAAAAAAAAAATGTCCTAATTTGTCGTTTCGTTTATTTTTAAAATTCCGATTGACGCGCTTCTTTTCTATAAGCTTTTAGAGATATCTATGTACTCCTGAACGTACCCTGGATATGAAAGCAATACCTGCGCCTAACAATTATAGATGGGACATAATATTGTTATTCGAGAAAAGTATTCGATATTATAACATTTATGAAACATCAGATATTTCACGAATGTTGCATTTTACGTGCTGGAAGATTCCATCTGCTGATGCGCATGAAAATGCAAGAAAAATGAAGATAAAAACTGATAACTATAATGGTCAGTGAGCAATTTATGCAAATATCTTTTAATCCTTGTGATAAAGTAGATTACTGAAACCTGTTATGGTAAAAAGTTAGTTAATCCTAAGCCCATTAATTACTTGCAAGAAAGCACTCAAGGGCTTCCTTCGAGCCGCAAAGGAGATCACCTAAAATAGATTTGTTCATATTGTTCATTTTATCATTCATTTGAATCATACGTTGTTCATTTTATCATTCATTTGAAATTGCAATAAATTACAAATGAACTCGCAATTTTGATATATATATAAACGGAAATTATATTTTGTGTGTCAAAAGTATTCAACAAAGTTATGTTCGCATACATCATCAAATTTGTTTTAAACTTAATTAAATTGCATTACAATATAGGTATATGGAATTACTATGCTTTAAGTAAACTTCTACTTTGGAACGCCAGTAGTCAAATGAAGAAAGCAACAGTTGTTTCATTTTGACTTCAGTTTAAAATTATTCATCTCATCCTTGGTCATCTCTGCATCTTTAGCTCAAGACAAGATGTTCCAGATAATTCATGCTTAGTAGATACAGTACATTTAGTAAGTATGATAACATACAATACGTTAGAGTAGATATGTGATGATTAACAAAGGTAGATCCAAACCTGATGGGGAACGGTTCGAGACCTACTAACGTATAAACGTTTGTGATTATCATATCCACAATGTATAGGGGCACATAAAATCTGTCGTTTGAATAATCCTATCATATTATTGATGGTATAAATATAAAAAAACTCTTTGATTCTATTTGTGCTATATTTAGGCGGAAATATCAAAATTGGGATGTTGTTGGGTAAACAAAAAGTCATACCCTCGCTTTTAAATGCCCAGGTTAGCGCCACGTACTTTTTCTCTAACAGAATTTCTTTTTCTTCCTATTATGATTCTACATCAAGGGTACGGTAGCAAGGACAATTCTTCACCAAGGACAAAAGGTACGGCAGCAACAGTATGTTTTAAGACTAAAACTAACCTTTAATTTTAAACTATTTACTAAAAGTTTAAAGTTCTAAGAAAAATGAAAAATTATATGTATGAGTTAATGCTATACTCTGAATAAAAGTAATCTTGCTAGCAATGCAACTCTTACTTTACTTCTGAAAACTGTATTTTGTGTCTTCAAGATTTACATGAAAACATGGTGTATTAGAATCTGAAATAACTTAAGTATGAACAATATTTATTTTAAAAGCGATGTAATTAGTATAACGTGGATGAGCTAATTTAGCAAAAATATAAACCATAACAATATTTTAATATAAAAATGCAGAAAAAGATAAATATTTTGAAAATGCATATTTAGAAATTTGTGCTGGAAGAATTCCACTTAAAACTGAACATTTAAGAGACAAGTTAAATGTCTAGGACGATTGAATATCGATTTATATAACTTTAAAAAAGATTTTATAATACATTGTACTTAATTTATTTCTCGTAATCATAATAAAAAGAATATTTAAATTGAAATAACGATTTGCAAGAAATGGACTTACCTTTTTCGAACAGATCTATTAAATAATAGTAATCTTTGTCAAAAATCCATCTGCAGTTGCGAAAGTTATTATTGTAGCGCAAGTAGGCAGATTCTTGGTATGTAGTGTAGCAAACTTCCCATAGCCCTACTTTATGGAATCTTTGATAAGGTAGCAATCCGTCCGACTGGAGCCAATATGGAGTAGCAAAAGAAACGGCGATGAAAATGAGGGAGACCAAGAAGAAGATGCGGGCCCCTACCCTGGCACCAGCCATGATTTATGAATCTGAAGTCAAGTTGGTACGATACTTAGGATTCAGTTGAAATAAGACACTTCTCCTCCAAATGTTATTTAATGGACTTAAATTATTCAAAAATAATTCAAAAAGATATTCTGTTGATAATCTTGAAAAATCAAATTCTTTTGCAACATAAATCGCAAATCAAATTTTGGAAAATCAATGTGTTGTCTTCCCAGGACTGTACAAATGCGATAAAATCCAATTGTTCAAAAACGCGATTCTGAAAAATTTTTATAATGATTATAGTGTTCCAGTTTTGTGTATTTGTAGAAATAACAGACCACTAGGATTACCACAGCAATGAAGATTTGGAGTCGCAAATTTTCAAATTTAATTTGAAGAAAACTTCCGGGAAATAAATATTTACAAGTCCACAGTTCAAAAGATTTTATCTTCAAAAGTATGGCACACGTTACGGATTAACTATAAGGTTTTCTTTACTGGAGAAGAAGAACGTTTGTTCAATCACAAAATTGCCTCACAAGGCCAACTCAGCCTGCGTACAAATTATTATATTTGAAGCAGCAGACGATACTAACTGTTCGAAAATTTAGTCCTGTTTAGAAAAACACAAAAATATTGTTTTAAAATTGAAGATTGTTTTGATTGGCAATTTAATGCGAAGTTACATGCATAAGCATTTATGAGTATAGCGGTGAACTACAGCCCTTGGATCTCTCACAATGTTGGTGAATCTCTTTGAAACATCGTCTCCTGAAATAGAAACAAGATCCGGATGATGAGGAGCAAATTCAAAAGCGTGTGCTACCACTTTGTGTCACCAGTGTCTGATATCGAAAATGCCAAGGTGTGTGTCTCTCCCCCCAAATACCGTTACGTCAACACCCTCACAATTGCAACAATACTGTTTCCTTTCATGTTTGCAAATTACGAATACAATTCATTCTGTCGAGTCACCTTAACGCCGGAAGTGGTCCTTAATGACCTTTCGGTATTTGTCATTGCTTGGCACTGAATTCTGCTCGCTTACTGAGAACCTCATTGTTCTCTGTGGGTAAGATCTACGCAAGAAGTTAGCAACAAATACAGATAGGGTGGAGATTAGTTAATCACAGCTGCCCTGTGCCGCGAATACCGATCGATTGTAGGAACTCTTTCCAAGAAAAATTATTTTCGTATTTGAAAGAAGCATAATGACCGTGAAATGAAAAATATCGAAGGAAGTGAAATATTCATTCACCTTGTCCAGCCCAAGTTAGCTCATTTAGAATCATTTAGGTAATATTTTATTATGAGATTATAAATGTGTGAATGTGAATAGTAGGACAAGGTTTTCAAAGATAGGGCGAAACCCTTCTCGTTCTTCTTTCTGCTCCACTGATTGCCGGCTGCGTGACGAAAAAAGAGGTCAAGCTGATGATACTAGCAATTATAAGGTCGAGTTTTACTATGGTGATTAGAAGTAATGACAAGTAAGAAAATATCTCTCTATCACTGGGAGGGGGTAGTTGCAAAGTAATGCTATCTTTTGCTGTCTCACTTTAGCTGATTAAACGGTAGTCCTGGTTTCTTGCTCCCTCTCGTAAGACATGTTCATTTCTAAATAATATTATGCTAGAGAAATTATTTTCGATTATTTCTGCGCTTAATTCTTGAAGCTTTTGTTACAGTTTTTGAATTGCTGTAGGTTTTACAGAATCTTCATTAAGTATTTTTTCTGAATGCAGTCGTATAAATTTAACAAAGCAAAAGTAACTGAAAAACATCAGTTTTGCATAAAAGAGAAATGAAGAACTCGTGAAGTGAAGAAAAACCAGTAAAGAAATTTGGGGTTGAAGTTTTTAACCCTAAATTTCACTCATTATGCGAACATTTTTTTATTTACCTTTAAACGCAAATCTGTAATGCAGCCCCACAATTTAAAGACGCAGTTTTTCATACCAGCAAAAAAGTTAAAAAAGAAGAAAAAAAAAAACTGAAATGATTCAGATTTTAAAGTCGCACCAGAGGCTTTTCAAACCATATATATAATTTATTTACTAAACAATATATATATATATATATATATATATATATCTTAAGCGTTCATGCAGTATTTCAAAAGGAGCCTTCCCCAGCGGCCGAGCGGTAAAGTCTCTGAACACTGGTAGTTCAGTCAGGGTTTCGAATCTTGGAGAAAGGGCTGGTTGCATGGGCGTTTTCGTGGTTTTTCCCATGTGTAACGTGTAAACGAGCCAATTTCCCTTTGAAAGTCCTTCTCGAAGGCTTCACTGCTCTTAGGCAGATAACTCTCGAGTACTTTGCCATAGTCAAATAAATCAAACCAAACCATTATTTGAAAAGTGATTCGGCGCAAAAGTGAGAATAAATTATAACCATTACATGCTTTATAAGCTTTACAAGCAATATACATCATAGTCCGAAAACTAAAACTTAATTTTTGAGCTAGACTCTTGTAAGCGTTATAAAAATAAGTTATAAGCGGTATAAAGGAAGTTATACACCGCAAAAATGAAGATAAGTTTAAAGCGTTGTTTGAAAAGTGATTTGACGCAAAAAAATGAGGGTAAGTTAGAAACGAAGCGATATACTTAAAAAAAAAAAAAAAAAAAAAAATCTGAAATGTTTCAGATTTTAAATTACGTCCAAAGGGGCGTTTTTTAACATTTTGTGTGTTACCTTTCTTTATTAAATATCATGTTCCTCGCACTTAAACCATAAGATCCAGTGCAACAGCAATATCGCAAAATAGTTTTAAAACGAGCATATCTTTAGAATTTTCCGATACAGAGACTCACGCGCTGGAGATAAAAATGTTTTTTCTGCACAACGTTGCCATTGCTCGCTTTGAAATCCTTGAGTTTGTTAATCAAAAATTCGTCAAAGTTTTAAAAAATAGAAAATCGATCATAAAACAAATTTCAAATTTCAAATTTGGTCTTCCACATGCTCATATTCGTTGGAGGATTACGTTATTCAAAATTCGATGACTCTATGTACCGTTATTTTATGACAATGTGAGAAATATACATACTTTTACGCAGATTTTCATTATTTAATTTCTTCAAATATAATGCAGGACTCTAACATTTTATGGCAACAGTTTGAAAAGTGAACCGACATTTATCCGTCCGACGCAAAATGCCAAAACGAAACTAATAGTCCTTTCGGGATTCAAATCCCTTTGGACTAAAAAAAAGGTATATGCGTTATCAACGTTATTGATAAAATTTTGAAGAAATTCATGCAGAAACTATTTATATAGATTTATTTACAGAAATTTTTAATCATAGAGGTTCTGTTAGCGATTAGCACAGGTCTGACCAAATTCTATACGTATATATAAAATCGATTTCTGATTTGAAAACTGATGCAGACACAAAAGCGAGGATCGTCAATCTAATAGCCCCTCTGGTGCTAATAAAAAAATATTGTTTACGCGAAGAACTAAAGAGGAAAAATAATTGATTATCAAAAGATAAAACTTCTGATACAAATACAATGTCCCCCCCACACCACCACCACCAGTTGCTTCCTTTCCAATAGTCCTTTGAGACTGCATCATTCAGGTTCAAGCTGTTGCTATCAGACACTTACATATAATATAATATATCTTTTCTACAATGCATAACCCCACCAGCGGACGAGCGGTCGCTGAACAACTGGTACGGTCCAAGGCTCGAATCTCGCGAATGAACTGGCTGCATAGGCGTTTTCGTGGTTTTTCTCGTGTGTAGCGTGTATACGAGACAGTTCTCATTAAGACCTTCACAGAGGCATCCCTTCCCTTAGGCAGATAGCCCTCAAGGGTATATGGTAATCACATAAACCAACCAAACCTACGATGTATAAATAAATGTTTTACAAATACCTTTCTATCTGCCAGAAATTAAAGTAAAATCATTTACGAAATACTGGATGCTTGTATGTTAGGATATCAGATATCGAAATGCAATTTAAATATCTGTTTTCTGTTACTGATATTTAAAAACTCCGGTAAAATTTATATTTCCAAGATCAGAATTATTTTTAAGAAAGATATTTGTTTAAAGAAGCCCACAAAAGAAGTCTACTTAAGGAAAGGGTGTTTTCGCGGAGAATATTTCAGGAAAATTGCATTATATTATGTTGAGCAAGGAAAAATCATAAAAACATCGATGAGGCCAGACCATTCGCTAAGATTTGAATCCGGGGCGAACTACCTCTTTTAGCGGTATTACACACTCGGGAAGCAACGAGGATTAAAAAAAAAAGGATTGTTATATCTAAGATATTATACATTTTTGCTAAGAAATTTTCTTTTCTGAAGAAGAAAAGAGGAAATCATCTAATTTAAGTTCTCAATTTATGTAAAAAATTGTGATATCTCTTTTTTGAATCAATCTCACAGTTTTGGAAAATGTTTAAAAAGTATATGATCGATCGAAGTCGAATCCAAGATATTGGGTTGGCAAGAAAGTAATTTCGGTTTGCACAAATAGATAGCGTTATATTCGTTTCGATATAAATAGATAACGTTATATTCGTTTTAAAAGCTTATAATTTTTTTTCTTTTGAGATCTGGCAGCTGACACTTTTAAGTTGCTCAAGTGTTAAAATTGTTTTAAAAAATTTCGTTCCGGAGAAATTTTCACTTGACCAACGTTTCGGCCAACCTTCTAAAGTTGATGGTGATAAAATTAAAGCCATAATTGAATCAAATCTTCATATAGCTGTGCGAACGGTTGTAAATAAGTTACATGTATCATACACAGCAACTGAAAATGACATAAAATGTCTTGGACTCCTTAAGAAACTTGATATTTGGGGTTCCGCACGAATTGAAAGAAATTCACTTAACGCAACGAATCAGTATTTGCGATACGCATTTCAAACGGAATGCAATCGACCCTTTTTTGAAACGAATTATCACTGGTGATGAAAAATGGTTCGTCTACAATAACATTAATCGAAAGATCATGGTCCAAGCATAATGAGTCGGAAAAATCATATGGAAACCTAAATTGGATCAGATAAAGATCAGGCTGTCAATTTGGTCGAATTACAAAGGTGTTATGTACATTGAGCTGCTTCCATATAACCTGTTTATTGCCAACAATATATGAAACTAGAGGAAGTAATAAAAGAGAAAAGGCCAAAATAGTCAACTCGCAGAGGTCTCGTGGTCCACCACGACAAGAATGGAGGATATTTGACTGATTAAAGTTCATTTTTGTATAGAACAAAAACTGAGCTTTATTTCACACTGAACAACCGAAATTACTTTCTTGCCAATCCGACCATTTTCGTTGATTTCTTTTATCTAATTTCATCTGTTGAAAAAGTTTAATTTTTATTCTATAATAATAAACATGTACCTTTTCTTTATAAACTCATATTTAATAAGCGATACTTTTAAATTGTTCCTTTGTATTTAATTCACTGCTAAACTTTTACAATGCAGTTACTAGATCATAGGAATGTTGATATAAGTAGCAGTCGATATCCAATGGCTCAAAACATTTTCACATTAATGATGGAGAGGATGATATTTATTCAATAGAAACATATGTCGAATTTTGATTTTTTTCTCTCATTCAGATTACCAATCTGGGGTACAGTATTATACATACAGCATACACACGTAAGATGCTGATTGGTAATCAGACACAAGATGCTCATATATGCAAATGATACGGCTAAAATTAGGTATCTTCATAAGAACAGAAGATTAATGCTCAATAAATACCGATGCTGCTATACCTTCTATCATTTATTCTCACCCTTTATCAGAAGAGAAGCAAATTCACTTGCTAGTTACTGCAGTATCCCTATCATTTATATATTAATCTAATTTCAATAATACTCCTAACATCCTGAGGTTTAGCGTATTTTCAGCTACCTAGATTAACAGTATGTACCAATACATTCGGTCTGCTTAATACTATCATTGAAGTATTCTGATAACTAAATGAGGTGCTATTTAGAATATAACAGATTGACTTTCAGACTAATATGAATCTTCTGAGCTTTCTTAAGCCCATTTAAGGTGGGAATAATGAGGATTGGCCATGAGAATCGTTAGATTAAAAGCATGTAATGTATATTTTCGATGTAGTATTTTTCCAACTAATGTGAATTTATTCGAATATATAACTATAATTATGCATTATTAATTAATATTTTTGATTGAACGAAGAAAATTCTGAGAAAATATTCACAGCATAAAATAAAACCTACAAGCATAAGTTTTTATGATTGAAAAGGTTTAAGTAAAGAAGTAGTTAGCAAAAAACAATAACGAATTAAACGACATTTTTAATAACGCAACTGAACGAAGTTAGTATTTATTACTAGTGCGAACCTTTTTCAAAAATTTGTGTGTTATTTTAAATTGCATCGAAAACTTCGCTGCAATTTAGTTCACTGTTAATTCAACAGCTTAGTAACGATTTTACGGTTCATTCAGCCATTCTGCTTTTTTTCTTCAGACCATACGATTTTTGTTATTGAGAATACTCTTTCGACTGTTACCGATGTGCCTGGCATGATGATAATGCACTCTATTATTTGAACGAGATTGGGCAATGAAATGCTTTTTTTTTTTCTATGAATTGACTGAAAAATTGTATCCGTTTTTTTTCACAACTTTAATTTTTCGAAATTTTAGAATTAGCTGACTAAAACACTTTTTCAACCGCTATTTCATTCAAACGTTTATTCATGTTTATTGTATTATTTGCACAGTTTCATTAACTTTTTACCTGAAACTTCAGTTTCAGTCCATGTTAATCCGCTTTTGTTTATCCAAATAAAAGATGCTGTTCGACCAAAACTGTTTTCCTATAGCTCAATGTAAGAAAGATATCTGTCGTAAAATACTTTAAATCTTTTATAGGATAATCTGATAATAATCTTGTAGAATTGTTCTGATACTAAAGGCATATAATCGGCACTTTTAAAATTTTACCAAATACCTGGAGGGAGACAAACTGACTGGGACGCAAGGACCACATATCAAACCGGAACAGTGTCGATCAAAGCAGTCCCCGTCTGGTAAGTCTATCTGTAAGAAGTTGAAATGCGCCTGTTTTGTCCTTTGCAGTCAATGATCTCCCGCATGCTACTGTGAAATATTCAGATGTTTGAGATGTGTTAAAGGTGTCAGTAAAAAGTATATCTCTATTTGTTTTATAAACATGAAAAAAAGCCAATGCAATTTTGCCAGAAACTTCATCAGAGAAGAAAAGAAGAGAAGAGATGGGGAGACTATTAAGAGATCTTATAATCTATTTTAACATTTCGGGAGGACATTTCGTGCAACAAGTTGAACAACAGCTGAAGTAGGGCAAAAGTTTGCTGGCTTCGTTCACATTTTTATTATTTGTTATTTCTAATCCTCCTGAACTTGATTCCAGATCAGACGTACGAATTTTGTCGTGATCCGAAAGGGAGAAGGTAGTGTCTGTTTTGGCTAAGACGTAAGATCTTATAAATGATTGCACGAGTAATGCTCAAATCTATCCTAATTTTAGTGAAGAATGTCAACATATGAAGTATCCGAGGATATTCTAGTTCTCTTCTCCTATCATCAACCTCTTGAGAGCATCGACTTTCATCTCGAAAGCGTTTTATGTGCTCCCATACTGCAAAGATAGATGTTATATGCCTTCTTCGGGATTCAAGTTCGACCCAATGACATAGCAGAATAATCAAAGCGGATCATTTTTACATTACATGTTTTTGTAGTAAAAGCCTATTTTTCTCAATACTAATAATACAACGAAACCTTAATATTTCTAATAAAAATGGTATTATTAGAAATGTATTTTTATTGGTCACTGACGAATTAAAATTACATCGAATTGTTTAATTAGTTAATGATTGGAAATTAAATAAAATATCTTCAATTCAGAAAACAGTTTAGTTTTTGTGTTTGTAAAATCTTTTTTTTTTTTTTTTTTTTTTTTTTTTAAAGTAGGAGACGTGAAAAATGTGCAATGCCCTCGATTTTGACTCGAATCCTGAACCTCTCGAATACGTGTCGAGTACGCTTCCTATTACACCACTAAGGCATGCGAAAAGGAGGAAGAAAATACCTCATATATTTACCAAAGAAATCGATGGCCCAAGACACAACAGTCTTCTCGCATTAATCATAAGTATTGAATGTAAAATGCGTCTAGTAAGATGAGTATTAACAATTCCACCTGTAGCAATAGCAGCATAATTCCAAAGTTTAAAAGAATTAACATTTTTTAAAAGAATTTTTTTTTTTGCTGGGTTAAGTTAGAATTTACTTAGTTTTACATATATTATTTATTAGGAAAACTTCTAGTTTGATTAAATCTAAGCAACGAAATGTGACAAAAATGCTATCATTCGATATTTTAGATTTACAAATGATTATCAGCTAAACTGCATGAAAATACCTTATTCTTATTACAGCTTTATACTTTATTTTCTTTATTCATTTACTTATTTTTGTTTGTTTGTTTGCTCGGCGGTAGCTTGTTTATTTGATCAGATGCTGAAATTAAACTTTAATCCTTTTTTAACGCTACGATGTTCTTGAAATTTATTATGTCAAAACAGTACTCCGTAGTAGCGTATTAACTTTTTTATATAAATGTTTTTCAATAAGTGTTAAATTTTTCTCATATACTCTTGTTTCGCAATAAAACTAATCATAGCAGAATTTCGACATCAGACAGACGAGAAAACAATTTTCCAATTAAAATCCGTTTCAGAAAGTTTAACATTAGTTTACAGAATTTTGGCGAGATCTTTTTTTTTTTTTTTTTTCCCTCGAACGTTCTTTTGTGTTTTTTAGCTATCAATGAGACTGCTAACAATGACTGACAAGTTTTAATCTCATTGATAAAAGCTCCAAAATTTGAAGTAATAATGAAATCGATTTTAAAAATCAAACAGGAACTTAAATGAATGGAATGGAGTCTTATGCTATCGGGCAGATCATAAGACCTTGGAAAGAAAGCCGAGGTAACGCATACCGTTTTCTACTACTTTTACTACTTCTAATTGGTTTTACTATTTTAACTTTTTTTCCAGCTTTCTGCATTCAGAAAAAGAGTTGATTAGATTTTGAAAGCATTTGACAGTTTTGCATCAATCAGTTTAGCATATGGTTGCGTATACTAGATAGATTAAAAAGGTATATAAACCATAAACATATTGCTGCAATTGAACGAGCTTTGTTCATAGATACCTAAATATTGCAGAGATGTACGTACAGTTCAAAATGAATTTAGATTTGTTAATATTATTGGAATGACACAGAGGAATATTAAACTACGGTATTCGTTTCAAAGAATTTATATTAAACATATTATAAACTCTTAAATTTCTTTAATTACAAATCAATTAACATATATGTTATTCAACTGCCCAATAAAATATAATTTTTATAAATAAAATAAAGGACAAACATTTGATTATGTTGGTATAAATTTAGGAAAACCAGTTTTTACACATAACCAACTATACCTAATGAAATACACTGAATTAGGATAGACATGGCTATGCAAATTTTATAGCGCTGTACGGCATCTGTCCTTACGTGAGGAAGTTGTGGTAAATGCACATACAGCTAGTACTATGGTTGTCGTTAATCAGTCGTTTCAATTGCCAGTATGGGTAAAACTTCTGATTTAAGACTTCTGATTTAATATCGGACAGATAGTAGGCACTCGACGCATGGGCCATTCAATTTCCAAAATCCTCAGCGGGTTAGCATTTTCAAAGTCGACAGTGTCAAGATTATACCGAGAATACACGGACGGTGAGAAGAAGAACTAGCCTATCGGGCAAATTGCAAAGGAGAATTAACCTAGAACAAGATGGTGTGAGACGGCTCAGCCGTATTGTACACAGTCAACGAAGCCAGACATTAGCTTATATTACCACCCAGCTGAATCAGGGCGACAGTCGTACAGTCAATAAAAGGTTTGTGCAACGCGCGCTTCACCATATGGGCTTCGGAAGCCGTAGACCTACGAGAGTACCTTTACTGAATGCATGCTATCGAGCTGCACTTCTTGCCTGGGCAGAAAAATACAGAGAATAGACTCTGTATTTTCCTGCCCAGGCAAAAAGAGTAGTGTGGCAAGTGGACTTGAAATGAGTAGCAAGGAGTGATGAGTCTCGATTCCGACTAATTAGTACCGACGGGAGGCTGAGAATATGGCGTCAGATTCATGAATCTATGAACCCTGTATGGCAGATTGGAACTGTACAAGGCCTTGGTGGCTTAATTATGGTCTTGAATGTTTTCTCTTGACAGTGTTTGGGATCTTTGGTACTTGTTCCAACCTTCCTCAATATGATTCCCTGCAAGATAACTGAACCTATCACAGGTCCCGGTTGGTTACTGTTTGGTTCGATGAGCGTTCTTCTAACTTCTTTGTCATAAACTGGATACTTAAAAGCCCTGACTTAAACTCTACTGAGCATTTTTCGGACGTTTTGGAGGTTTGAAACCTTATCGCACAACACTAGCGCTTCTTCCTAAATTATAGACAGCTCTATCCGATTTTTTTTAAGCCATTCCCGTAGAATGCTTACAGAAACTTATTAATCTATGCTTCGTCGTTTGGGAGCCATTATAAAGGCCAGAGGAGGCCCAACTCGTTATTGACTAGCTATCCCTAATTCAGTGACATTTCAGTGTATAATCCAAAATTTCTTGTTACACTCGTTTCTATTTATTGGAACACATATTAGATTTTGTTTACAATCTATCAACCTGCAGTGATATTTTATTTAAAGCTCCTTGCTATTTAATTGTGAAATTGGCGGGAGGTCATGTGCTCGTCACATCAGACGTTTTGATGGCATATTTCACACTGCAAAGATACAAGTTTATTTCAGCTTTCGGGGGCTTTTAGAATCAGAAACGCGATGCTATATGTCTATTTATTTATCATTTTTCTTTGGTTCATTTGTATATTGAAACTGCAGATGTATATTCGCTACGTTTTAATTTTTGTATTTTATGACAATTGTTTCCGTAAAACTTTTTTTTTTTTTTTAAATTTTCGTTCACAGTGTATCATATGTGTTTGATGAATCATATATAGCTGTAAATAAGCCGCATTTTAACGTCTGAGCTAGACAATATTTTTTGCATTATTTTGCGTATTGTCAAAACAAACAAAAATTAATTTTCCCTTAAGAAATTATGTATTATATTGTAGTATAATTACATATAACAGTAGAGTCTCTTTAAACTTGTAGATAATTAAGTAGAAACTTTAACCCCTCAATATGGGCCTGAATATCTAATTCGATATAAACTGCATAAATTCCATATTTTTGACAGCTGATTAATTGGAAAGAAAATGAACTAATTTTTGCGGTGAAAGGAAGTCCGATATCAGCTGTGAGGTGGTGGCTCAATAGAGACTAATTTAATAGATATTGCACGGATGAATCTCTAGTAATGAACAAGTTATTAAAACTCTGAATTCACTTCAAATAGAACATATCCAATGCTACGACTTTGAAAACCTTTATACATCTCTACCACTCGAAGAAATTTTTACAAGTTTACTTGCTCTTCCAGATTTATTTCCACAAATTTCTACCATTCTCAGCAACGAAAAATGGCAGCTATTCCTTACCAGCGTTCTCTTCAATAATTTTATTCAGTTTGACAATTACATCTATAAACAAGTTCAGGGAATACCTATGGGCGGGAATTTTTCAACTTCAGTTTGTGAATTATTCCTGTTCACTAAAGAACTAACCTATGTACGTTCACTCAGAACGGAAGAAAGTCTCTTTTTCCAACACATCTATAGATATATTGATGATGTCATAGCATTTAATAACTACAACAAAATAGAAAACGCTAATATCTACCCTGCTTGCTTAAAACTTAATAAAACCAATACAGAACAGCATGATATAGTCTACCTTGATTTACATATTATTGATTACCGTTTTATTAAAGTTTACGATAAAAGAAGAGAATTTAATTTTTCCACACTTAAACTCACTAACTGGAATTCAAATATTTCCAAAAGAGTAATAATCAACACAATTTATTCACAGCTACTTAGAATGAAAAGAATTTGCAATACTGCGGATCACTTACAAGAAGAAATACTATACTTCGTAACTATTTTAAAAAGTAACCAAATACCACATAAAATAATTAAAAATTCCCTGACCAAAGCTGGCATTAACCTTACCTAATTATAGATTTTTTGAGTTAGATAATGATTTTTTATACCTAAAGCTACGGACGGTTTAAGAAGGATGACTAATTCAGAGAATCTATTGTAAAAATGTACAGAAAATTCTTGTTTATTCATTCTCTTTCCTCCAAAAAATTTTTTGGCACTTTAATCTTAAATACTATTATGTACATATTTTTAAATTTAAATTTCTTTAGTGGCCAATTTTACTGCTTTTATTAACAAATCGGGCTTTTTTCATTTTTCATAGTAGCTTGATCGCCCGCTAGCTTGAAGAATTACGACTTTTTTAACAAATTACTGTTTTTTCCTTTTTCTCATGCTTTAATGGCCAAGTTTTTATAGTTTTAGCTGAATTTGCCATTTTCACTTCGAAAAAATTTTTTCCATCCTTCTACAAGCCAAGCGCCATTTTTTGAGCTCTTCACACGGTTTCCGAGGTTTCCGGCCCCCTCCGATAATAGGAGACGAGTTACAGATAACGAAAATCACTTCGCATTGGCTAAACGCCCACAACTCTTCGCTCCCCCCTACCTACGTCATCCAAAAATAAGACGCTTGAAGTTAGCAGCCATTTTTCTGCATGTTTTCAGAGGGACAGCTTTACATCGCCAAAGGTCAGTTTTTTGTTTCTTTTGTTACAACTTTTTCTTGGTCTTAGCAAGACCCACTGAGTTGTTCTTTTCTCAATTTTTTTATTTTATATTGATTATTAACTACAGGTTTTCTTACAGTTTTATAAAATCTACAGTTTTTTAAAAATTAAATTGTTAATCTTTAAGCTTGCAGGCCCAGCCCGAATGTATTTGTATTTTTAGGACTAATAGCTCATCGCTATTTATTTTCGTTTTGATTTTAATTTTAGACTAGATTTAGAAAGTTTGATTTTGATTTACATATTTTAACACCTTAATGTGTCATTCTGAGCGGACGCGTCGGGAAATTGGAACAGAGAATTGAGACTATTAAAATTTCCAAGACACTTTGTCAAAAAAATTTTTTAGCGAAAAAGTTTCAATTGTCTGTTTCGGCGAAACGCGTAATGGGGTTAGCTTGATTCGACGTTCAAATAAATGAAATTTCCCTTGAAAAGCCTGTTTGGATGTCGAATTGGGCTAATTTACCATTTTCCGCTTACTTTTTAACTTTTTCTGTTTTTTAATTTTATTGTATTTATGTTTTACATGTCTAATGATTTGCTTTTCATGTGTATTAATTTTTGAAAACGTCTTAAACCTTTTGGAGCAGCAGCTCTTGGTAACTTTTAGGCGAGCTTTCTACAATTTTTATTTTTTACTTATTTTGCAGCATATTGCGCAAGATGTTTTCTTGACCAAAATTGGTTTTCAAAAATTTTTATTACTGCTTTGCTTGATAAATTATATATATATATATATATGTTTTTTTTTTTTTTTGTTACCTAAAACGTTCGAAAAACTCTTGGCGTCTTTTATAGCTTCCCAATTACGAACTAAGAAAGCATAAGATTTTGGGAAAGTCTGTGGTATCTCCAAGCAGTAAGTTTGTCTTTTATTCCTTTTAAATAGATGATATTTTATTTTCAAACTTCGTGTTGTTGAAACTTTACGTAAATATTTCTGTTTAATTGATTTATTTTATTTTTTAGTCTATTTTGGAGATATTATGTATCGTTTTTCATTTATTTATTTGCTGCATTTTATGTAAAAATTTGATTGCGTATTTTCTCTTAATCGAATTTATGTGTATGTTTGTATGTTTGTGTATTTTATTGTAGGTGTCGTAATTCTAAATCGATCAACGTTTGAATTTTGTTGATAGCTTTATTAAAAGATAGCTTTTTAATGACCTTAACGACATTAGGAGATTTCTCGCGAATTTGGCGACATTCTGCTAGTTCAGAAGAAAATAACAAACTAGAGCGATTTTTCCGAAGCTTCCAGAAATACTTCCGCGTTTGGAGGCATCAATCAGTTAACAGAGTGATTTAATTCAAAATCTTGAGACTGAAACTAAGTTTTAGACTTTGATCTGTGAGTGAGTTTGCTATCTGCGATATTTACCGCGTGTTAAGAAGAGTAGTTAGTTATTAAAGAGATGTCTACAAACCCAGAAGGCGCTACAGCATTTTCAACTGCAAATGTCTCACTTAGTCCACCATCGGCTGAGCGGTAAAGTCCTTAAACACTGGTAGTTCGGTCCGAGGTTCGAATCCCGCGAACGGGCGGGCTGCAATAGCGTTTTCGTGGTTTTTCCCATATGTAACGTGTTAATACGAGCTAGTTTCCCTTAGAATGTCTTCCAAAAAGGCACCCGTCCCTTCCGTGTAGCGCCTTAGGACGGAACACATAAATAATAATAAAATAATAAATGTCACACTTTTCTGTTCGAATGTAACAATTAACTTGAATATCATACCAAATATTACTAAATGACATTTATTACTAAATGACTAATAATAAATATGAAATGATAAATGACTAAATAATAAATACTAAATGACATTTCGTAAGCTTTAGAATGTTTTACTGCTGATGATACTATTAATATATTAAATAATTAAAAAAAAGCAGTTCCCTCAAACAAAGCAATTTTTACATGTTGCTGTGACTTATCTCACTTGTCTAACAGTAACATCAGAACAAGCCCACGAAATTTAATGTAAGATTTCACCTGCCGTAAGCAAGAACCTTGAGCACCATGCAGGTGAGAGTACGCCTTTGCTCAGTTCCGAGCCCAGTTTTGAAGGAGAGCACACCGGGGAGAGAAAGGAAGGATTCAGAATTCTCCCACCTCTCTTCCTCTAACACCAACCACTCGAGAGGACTTAAGGCTCGCCGAAAGTTTAGAGTTCCCCCATGCCGCACAGACACTATATACATTTACAAACATCCATGTCTTCTCCAGGATTCGAACCCGAGCCCTTCTACGACAGTCAGCGTCGCTAACCACCGGTTGGACGATATTTTTACATGTAGAAAAATATTTATAACATCGGAAAATCTCTGTTAAGGATTATTCTTGCAAGATTTCTTTTTCGGATAATTCTAGTCGGATTATTTTTTAAGATTGTATTAATGTTCATTCAAGTTACACATGTAATTTTATATACATCTAATTGTATTTTTTTTAATTCCATGACTATAATTTAACACGGATTAAAGAAAAGGAATTCTAATTTCTTTTTATGAGATTTATTTTTAATTTAACACAGTTCAAACGGTATCTTTTTAAAATATCTTCATCTAAATTTAATTTTTAAAAATATTCTTCTGCTGAAAGAATTTTTAGAATTCAGTTTCGTAGTAATGATGCCATTCACAGTCGAAATTTCTGAAAGTAATTTTTGGAAAAGTTTGTATCGTTAAACTCTTAAAATCTCCAAGATAAAAACCATGTTAGCATAACTGTATAACAAAATTATCTCTTATTTTATTCCAAAAAAAAATGAAATTGAAGACGAATGGAAATATGTGATAAAAATGTTTTTTAAAAAGATTACAAAATTTAAAAAAAATTTCACAAAAACCACTGCTTTTATAAAGAAATAGCAGAAAGAAGTTTAAAAAAGGCTAAGAATAAAATAAGAAAATTAATAAACATATAAAATATAAATATATTTTACAACTTTTATATACTACATTTAATGATATATTTTCTTTATAAAAGATAATTTATTTATATATACTTTACTTCAAGTGTATCAAACATAAATACATTCAAGTGGATAAAATTAAATAAAGATCTAATTTAAGATTTTGATATTAATTTGACATTAGAAAATAATTTATTTTTTGATCCAAAACCGATCCAAATCCTACAAACTTGTCTGGAACCATCTGCTGTATATTGATACTGCGTTATCTTTTCTTATTTACTGTTTCTTTTTCTCACACTGTTATGCAGATACAGAATCGGATATGCTTATTATTGATCTGTTTTAATAATATTTTGTGATTGATCTGTTTTAATAATATATTGCGATGCTATATGTTTAACGATGTTTAGCTGATTTTATGATCATTATTTTTACTCCTCCATAACATAAAAATAGTAGTATAGCCTTCTATTTAATCCCTAACAAGCGTTTGTTGACGAAATGTCGCTATTTTCACAGCGTTGTATTAAAAAATGTATATAAATAAATGTTACTCAACCTAATAACGACCTATTCACTCACAGCCATTTACCCTTTGTTACCAATTGTTTAGTGCTTGTATGCAATCAAAATGTAATGTATACGAGTTCTATATTATAATTACGAAAGCAGTCTCATACACAGGCTGTGCAAAAAAAGTACCTGATCTAAATATTTTTGTCAGTCCCTAGATAAAATTATATCTTAAACAATTTTAACTCTTAATGTTTGAGATTTAAAATAGTTACACAAAAGAGTTAATTTTTTGAATTCTTAGGATGTTTTTGAACCTTTAATTTCGTTTCGAAGACTTTCAAATTCCGCAGAACAACAACCGGGAAACATCGTTTTGGACTATGCATAAGTAATAGCATGCGGCAGAGCTCACCATGTTATGTTTTATGTTCAAATGATATATTTTGTATGAAATATCTGTTTAATAATAAGCAGTTTTTCTATCATCTAATAGGCAAAAATTGTAAACGAATCTTACATGTAAATTTATTCCAGTTAAATTAATATTTATAATGTTAAAAATGATATTTCGAATTCGGGGAAATATAAGCCTATTCAGTTATTACAAAATAAATCTGTAACGATGACATACGTTAAGCATATGCCTTTTAGTTGAGTTCTGAGATTAATTCAAAGGTCATCAACCGGAAAACTTCATAAACGTATTATTATTATGCAGGTGCAAAGTTTGTAATCAGATGGCTCTACTTAGGACCATTTCCTTGTCTCCCATTTCAAACAAAATATAGTGGCTCATATTTGTTTTCGGATACTTTTTTGAAATTTATTTGCATAGCTCTTGCATCAAATATTGCAATATAGACTTCATTTTTTCTCCCTAATACTTTATTTTTTCTCCGTTTTAAGCTTTGCTTGCTGCAAATAATCTAGCATATTATTTTTTCTCCATTTTAAACCTTGTTTGTTGCAAATAAATATCATTAAAATATTCCTAGTGATATAATAATTTATTCAAAAAGTATTAATCAGTGCCTATCATCCGAGACTCGAAAGATTTGTTGATATGATTTTGCAAACAATGCCTCTTATCATAATTGTTTTTTTGAAATGAAAATACATTCCGGGAATTATCATCTGCATTTGGTTATTGTTATTTGTTTAGCAAAATATATTAACGGTTCAATATCTGAAGTGAACATGGCAAGACTCTACAAATTAACAATAAATTGCGTTAGAAATTTAATTCTTCACCATTTTAAAGATAGCAGAAGTATTTAAAATATTCAAAAAATCCTTGATGTAAAACGTTCAACTATCTTTGATTGAAATTGCGTAAAATTGTTGAAAATACGCTGCAATTTGGACTACTTTCTAAACTAGCACCAGAGAATTGAATATTTATCCTATGAAAATTCAAACAAGATCCACAAATTAGTGCTGTAAAACTTGCAGTGGGTTAAAAGAAAGTTTGTAATGAAAGTTAATCCCAAAATTCTTGGAAGAATCTTTAAAGCACGTGGCTACAATGGACGTGTGTATGTCTGTGTGTGTGTATTTAATTATGGCAAAGAGTGAGTGAGTGATTATGGCGCAAAAACCAAAAATGATTATACCGCGCCAAACATAAGATGAGATGATTACAAATGCTGACATTAAAATTCAATAAATAAAAACAAGTAGACAAATGTATCAAATCCAGAGGATGAAGTCATATAAACACAAGTTAAAAGCACACATTAAAATTCAAAACACAGTCTTCAAAACAAATTACATTTGGTAATAAAAGCCAGTCTCTTTTAAATAATAAAATAAATTACAATTGACCTCTCTTCCGATTAAACGGTCGAGAGGTAAGTCACAGCCATTAAAACATTTCTGACGAAGATTATTAAAATGGGACACTCAATTAAAATATGACGGACAGATAGACAAACATTACAATTTGAACAAACAGGGTCATTCTCAGCTTTTAAAAGGTAGCTTATGTGTCACTCTAGTGTGACCAATTCTGAGGCGAGTCAAAAGAACTTCCTCCTTACGATTTTTGGTAGATTCCCAATGCTCAATTCTAGGTTTTACTTGTCTTAACTTGTTTTGAAGCTGAACATCCCAAATTTGCTGCCATTTTTTTCGGACCTCTCCTTTCTTTGATGACACAGCAGATGTCTCTAAAAGGGATGAGGCGACTGGACAGTTCAACAGCAGATTTGCTGCGATATCTGCAAGCTCATTTCCCTTTTATTCCCGCATGTCCAGGAAACCCAGCAGTACAGGATTTCATATCCTCGAATCGTTGTTAAGTTTATATGAATTTTGAGAACATCCACTACCACAGGATTCTGAGTGTTGGGAAAAGCTTCCAAAGATTTAAGAGCACTATACGAGTCTGTATAAACTATGAACTTTTGTGGCAGAGCTTCGAGATGTACAAAAGACCATAATATATTGCAGTTAGTTCAGGATGTTATGACTTGAGAAAGCATGGTGCAGGCATCTGCCCTCAATGTAATCTTCAAATACAAAAGCCATCCCGACATGATCATTTTGACTTTGATCCATCTGTGTATATCGGATAACTGCTATATTTGTGCCTGTGCTCAGCGAAGAGTTGTCTGTAAACTATCTCGTTAGTGCTTCGCCTTCACGTGATGTTTGAAAACATCAAGAAGCTGAATCCGTGACATTTTCCCAAGGTGGAATTTCAAAATTCTGTACTGCTTGGGGCGCATATCAGAGAGGGAATGTTCCTCAATGACAGGGCGAACTCTTAAAGGAAAGGTAGGAACGCAGGATGGACGCGTTTCAAATAAAGCGTTACACACATCATATCGAGTAAGCACAGCTTATTGGGATGTTCAGGTTGGGATAGAATATTAAAATATTGCAAAGAGGGACAATTGCTCACCCCTCAGATAAAGTGACGGTTCGTTACAGTCAACGTACAGGCTCTGGACGGGAGAGGTCCTGAAAGCTCCTGAACAAATTTGCAGAGCTTGATGGTGAACAGGATCCAGTTTTAACAATACTGATGACCGAGCGGATCCATAAACAACTGAGCCATAGTCCAGTTTAGAGCGGACAAGCGCTCTGTAAATGCGAAGCATGGAGCAACGCTCTGCACCCCAGGAGGTGTTCGCCAACACTTTTAAAATATTTAGTGTTTTTAGACACTTCTTTCTCAGGTTTAAAACATGAGAAAGGAAGGTCAATTTTCGGTCGAACGTCACTCCTAAAAATTTTACTTCGGGCGTAACTGGAATAATTGTACCATTCAGATATAACTCAGGCTCAGGATGGAGACCTCGCTTCCTACAAAAGTGAACACACACAGTTTTCTGTTTGGAAATAATTATGGCTAAAGCACACGAGGGCTATCTGCCTAAGAGGAGGGATGCCTTCGTGGAGGACTTTCTAAGGGAAACTGGCTCGTATACACGTTACACATGGGGAAAAACCACGCTACAATGGACGATTAAGCAAGAAGGATATTATTTTCCGACAATAAACCATGGCAAATACTCCGGCTTTCTCAAAATCCAAGGTAAGCAAAGATTTACCGTATTGGAACAATATTATATTTGCAGACGACTAAAAATTTTATATAACTAGATTCAGTGATCAATATACTATGTGGTGAAAGTCGAACGAAGAATTAAATCTGAAAATCTTATTGCTTACTTTTAGCACGGGGATGAAGGCATAATGGTTTGGAAATTTAGCTCCTCCTAGGATGAAAAATTTCCTTTTTATAGAAAATAATATAGATCAGAATAAATATATGAACATTCTTAATAATAGCTTGATACTATCTGAATGAAAACTTGGAATGTGAAACACATATGTATTCTATCAGGATAACGATCTTAAACATACACCCTTACACAACTATCCTTAGTGTCCTTAGGTTATCAAAATTCCTCCATATTCTCAGGACTTAAATCCAATCAAATATTTGGAGTGATTTGGCGAAAAGAATCAGGAAACATGCTAAATCTTCGAAACCTCTGTTAAAAACAATTTTTACTGGAAAATGGAATAAATAGAACATTTTTATACGAACAAAATTGTGGAATCTATACCAAAGCGTATGAAAAGTGTAATTTTAGCGAAAGGATAGCTAAGGAAATATTTAATGTTAGTTTCTTGTTTTTGTTAAATATAAAGCTGTTTATTCAGACTATTCGTATACTTATGTGAGTTGATTTCTAAAAATTTTAATACCCCTTTTTTTTCTGAAAACATATTGAATAACTTTTTTTAATAAGTACATTTAAGAAAAAAGGTAATTAATAGTATATATCTGCAAGAAAAATAAAGTCATTTCACTAACATTTAGTAACTAATATTTCCAGATAAAACTGGAAAATATATGTGTCCGAAAACAAATGTAAGATACAGTAAATTTAAATGTCTAATAATATCAAAAAATCATCATCGGTTTCTTTTATTTAGTATTTTCTTGAATCTTTCGATTAACAAAAATTATTACATCATGAGCAATGCTTTTTGTTAATCCTTTGCAGTACAGTGTGGCTGGTCTGGACACACCTAAAAATTTCCTTCTGTACGCACAGAAAAAATTGAATGAAAAAGGATTTATACACTGGTGTGCAAAAATTAAGGACGAGACGGTTTTTTCAATATAACTTTGTACAAAAGCTTTCCAAATCAACACATTTAATACCGTAAGATCCCCAATACGTAAGGACATGAGTAATGTAAGCAACACTTACGAAAAGAGAAATCAGAGGGATAAAAAGAAGCTTTATTGAAAAAGTAGCATGGAGCGCAATGCGACTGAAGGCCGAAACATCCCTGTGATGAGTGTCCAGCAAGAAACATCCGGTCTTTAATAGGGGATATGATCTCCCCTGACTGCTAGGCAGGTTTCACAGCGTCTGCCCATGCTGAGAATGAGGGTGTCAATGAGTTGTTGAGGCATTGCAGCCCATTCGTCTTGCAGGGCCAATCGAAGCTCCGGAATCGTTACTGGTGGTAAGGTACGAGCTGCCAAGCGTCTGCCTAGAAAATCCCATACATGCTCGATGGGATTGAGATCCGGAGATCGTGCCGGCCAATCCATACGTTCAATATCCTCACTCTCTAAGAGCTGTTCGGCAGCTACTGTGCGATGACATGGTGCATTGTCGTCCATGAAAAGGAACTGAGGACCCATAGCGCCTCTAAAAAGACGCACATATGGAAGAAGAATCTCGTTACAATAACGGGTCCCGTTGACTGAACCTGCGTCGAAGATGTGAAGGTCTGTACGACTACCAAGCATGATGCCTCCCCAAACGAGAACACCGTCACCTCCATACCTGTCCCTTTCAATGATGTTCGAGGGATGATTGCGGCTTCCCCTCTTTCTCCAGATGAGTATGCGATGAGAATCGCTACTCAGACTGAATCTGCTCTCATCTGTAAAGAGTACTCGTCCCCATTCATTGTCTCTCCAATACGCGATATCGGTCGTCCAGTCGCCTGTGTCGTGTGTCTAGCGATTTCTCCCGCTGTCTGCCGCCTGTTTCTTCTGGCCTGTAAGGCAATATACCGGTCATCTGCGGGTGTGGTTCCTTGTGGACGACCACTACTAAACCCCCGGATAGCTGTTTCTGTACTTTGAAATTGTCTCCAAAGTCGTGAAACGATGCTGTGAGCAATTCCGAACTCTGCAGCCACACTTGTCACACTGCGGCCTTCCTCCAACTTCCCAATGATTCGACCTCGGGTAAAAGCATCCAGATGTCGTCTAACAGATTGATTATTCGCCATTTCTCGCTGAGGCAGCAACTCGGTGTGATTTTAACTGCTATACGGCGTGCAATCTCTTTGCCAGAAATACTGATCTTACACCGACAACATGCTTTATACTACTCAGACACTCCCTCATTACGTCTACCTGCATATCTGCGCATGTGCTACCGTACATCATCTTACTTAATCTCCTGATTGGTCTTTCTGTCCGCTCTGCCTCTTCGTTCAGCTGATATGCTAATTTTTTGACTTCGTCCTTAATTTTTGCACACCAGTGTAGATTACTATAGGTTACTCTGAACCTTCTTTATTTACAGTAGATGGCAGCTCAACACAAACCAGTCCATATATTTTAGCCATGTTTAGTTATTTTAAGACCCTCATTTTTCAAAGAAATCTACCAGATTTTTTTTAGGGTATAAAAGGAATTGTTTGAAAAGAAATTTCTGTGTTATTTTTTAGCTATATGCTAATCTCCTTATTATATATTAGTTTTAAATTTTTACTTTGAAATCTGGCCTAAAATCAAACGGTGAACCCTAGGTGTACCCAGACCGGGCTCACCGATAATCTAGGACAACTGAGAGTTTTGTTTGTATTCTTTGTTTCTCCGAATCTCATCGGTCAGTTCATTGACAACAATGCTTGCTTCAGCACTCTTTTCGAAGCTCTACTCAATCAGTGTGCCCTCTTCGAGCACAGCCACAGAAATAAACGATAAGTGCTATCTTCACAAAATTTTACTTGTGTACTCCTCTAGGCCTAATTACACTGCCTACCTTTTTCTTTTTAATCAAAATCCGACTTTAAAAGGTAGCGTGGCGGAAAGGGTTAATAGCTACAATGTTTACGTTTGCTCACTCTTTTTTAATGCTAATAATTCTTGATTTAAAAGAATTTTTTATTTTTAATATTATTTAGTTGTTTAAATCACAATTTTATGCAGTATTATATATTATACTCGTATATTAGAGTATCAGAATTTTGTAACGTGAGATTTATAGTATTCTACTTCTGTTCCTTAAAAAAGAAATATTAGAAGCATAAATTCCTGTCATATATTATACCTTAATGTCAGAGAATATAGAAGTTTATTTCTTATGCAGATAAGACAAGGGTCTTATTGTTGTATACTTATATTTCGACATTTATTTGGCTAATTGAATATAATTTTTTCCAAAAATTAAGGTTTAGAAAGCTGTAAGGGACTTTGGGACCATGAACTTACAGCTAATCACTCAGAATATATTTCGTCATGCATTCTTTCCGAAACCTTCTGCTAAATATATTTGCAACCTTATTTAAATAAACAACTAAAAATTACTTTAAAATGCACCTAAATGGCAAAACTGTCTGAAATATGTTCAATAATTTAGGATCCAATGATTGCTTGGATGACGTGATTGAAGAAAGTTTATGCCTAGGACTTCCTTTGTTGACGAACGAATTGCATAGTATTGTCGTAACGCTCGGAGCTCATGGTGTTCTTCTCATCACAACTCTAGCCGCTTCATCACCTTTTCCCACTAAAGAATCTGTAGCGGAAGTGGTAAGTCGATAATAACTCTGTCTGACAGCAAAACAAAATGGTACTTCTTTAATGCGAAATTGCGAGGTATCTCCTAAGTCAAACATCAGAAAGATTAATAGACAGTGTTCATGACACTGGTTAAATTCTTTTAGAACTTAGTGAATTGGTCTTTTCAAAACTCGGACATAACTCTATTGTTTTTTAATATCTTTGGTGTTATTTAAAAGATTTGGTTCGAGCAGAAAAGATTACTGGTGTGTAGCATTTGGAAAAATCCTTTACGCTTGTCATGAGACTGGTGCTACTATCATCAAGCATGTATTGCAGAAGTGGCAGCATCGACACTGGATTACATTGCATACAAAAAGAATAATTATGAAAAAATTCTATAACGCTCTGTGTGATATTTAACTTAATACTGCATCCTTTGTAGTTCATAGTCAAAGAAATGAATTCCAAGTTAAACAGGTCTTAAAATAATATAAATATTCTTAAGAAATATTAAATTCTAAGTAAAGTAATTGTTCTTATTATTCACTTATTGTAACATTACACAGGGTATTCAAAACTACTGCCGGGATATTGTAAAGCAATTACAGTTTCTCTTTCCCCTCAGAAAGCACGAAATCTTACAAAAACGACAGAAATATTTTAGTTCAGTGAACTCGCTGTGGGACGACTGCTTACGACTTAAGATAATTTTGGCCTTTTGTGGAAGTGGTCACCTGAGAATGGTGATATTTAATACAAATGTTTATTTATAGTCTTGGAAATAATGGTCTTTTCAGAGGCAGTCATTATAGACAGGTGGTTGATGCTAGAAACTTCACTATGTTTTAACGAATTTTTGTGATTCAACTGAACAAATCAAAATATTTAATAGACATTTAAATATCTGGTTGATCTTTACATTATGGTAACTTGGCAACTTTTTGGCGAAAATTTACCGACCAACTCTCCTACAGCAACCCTCCATTTTTTTTTCCCCGCCGCCATTTTGTCTTCACGAAGTAAAGAAAAGACATGTTTCTTTTCTTTTTATCTACTGAAACTTTCTTCCACAATCTACTAGCCGAATTACACTTATGCTAGAAATTTTATCAAACAAAACTGCTTAATCATGACAAATATTCACTGCAAAATTGGGAAAAAGTGCACAATACCATACTCCTTACGCGTTTTTCAAAATAACACATACACATAAACCATGTACACGCCGACTTATTTTTACTACTTAAAAAAACATCCCAGAATTGCACAAAAATGGCATTGCGCACACTCTTCACTATATCCATGTACACTGCTTTTTCTCATAAATTAAAAAAATTTCACGAAAATACATGACAATTTTTCTCAATCTTTAAACCCGGTAAAAAGAACATATATGAAATTACCTGATCGCGAAAAGTATTTACCCTTTCCAAATATGAACATTTCCACATATAAAATAAATAAAATATCCAAAAACTTTTACCTCTAAATCATCTATTACATTATACACGTCACCAACGAATTCATACCGCAAGCATTACAAATACTTAGTATCAAATATTTAAATTATTTCCATGCACGTTTATTCAACTTAAACGTATACCAAATTCCTACAAGCATAAAATTCACAAAAATAACTATCATTTCATTAAAATATCACTAAACCATGTACACGTCGACTTATTTTACTTAAAAAAACATCCCAGAATTGCACACAAAAATGGCATTGCGCACACTCTTCACTATATCCATGTACACTGCTTTTTCTCATAAATTAGAAAAATTTCACGAAAATACATGACAATTTTCTCAATCTTTAAACCCGGTAAAAGAACATATATGAAAATTACATGATCGCGAAAAAGTATTTACCCTTTCCAATATGAACATTTCCACAATAAATAAATAGAATATCCAAAAACTTTACCTCTAAATCATCTATTACATTATACACGTCACCAACGAATTCATACCGCAAGCATTACAAATACTTAATATCAAATATTTAAATTATTTCCATGCACGTTTACTTCAACTTAAACGTATACCAAATTCCTACAAACATAAAATTCACAAATAACTATCATTTCATTAAAATATAATTAAATTCAAAAACACTACTTAAAATATAAATGAGCACATACATTAAATTAATAAAAATTACCTTACAATCCTAATTACTTTAAACTAAATCATTGCTAATAACAATTTTCCCAATAATACCAAATTCCTTTCCACCTTACATTTACAACAATGCATAAAAATAATATCCTCAAATAATTAAAAATACTAACTTACCTAATCTTCTTCAGAATCTTGATTACGTGGCGGATACACTTTTCTTACTTCTGTTTCAGAATCTTTAAAATCATACTTATCTTTCAAGCAAGATACCAGGTAAAATAAAACATAATAAACATCTTTATTTCTCTCTCGCACAACCTTAAAAAACATTTATTACTATCCTTTTCAATACCACTAAATACCCATTTCGAATTCACTTTAGTTACGGCCATGGGATCCAAAAATTCACAAACACTATTTCACACAACACAGAATAAAGCCAAATACAAAATTGCCAGATTTTTCCCCGATTAAAGAACAGTAATTCGACCATTAATATCACATAACATATCCCATGATCTCTCATTTCCCTCACACAAAATAATGCGTAATCAGAACTGAATACTACTCATATTCTTAACAAAGTCTAACTAACCTAATCTTCTTCCGAATCTTCCTTACATGGTGGATACACTTTTATTATGGATTCAATAAAATTACTGAACGATTTTTTTTCCGAATTTGATAGAATTTGATAAAAAAAAATTTCTCTTTATCACATCTACAATTCACTTTAGACAGCGCCATACAATCCCAAAATTATTCAACCCTACTTCACACAACACACAATGAAGCTTAATACAAAAATAATATACATCCACAGATACTTGTCCAAATTCCCCCCTTTTCCGATTAAAGAACCGTAATTCGTCCATTAATATCACATGACATATCCCATGATCTCTCATTTCCCCCACACAAAATAATGCGTAATCGGAACTGAGTACTGCTCACATTATTACCAAAGTCCCAGGTAGTAACCTTTATCGCCTCCAAAATGTCGCCAAACTACCAGTTACCATATTGTAAAGATCAACCAAATATCTTTAAAATACTTACATGTTCAGATACGATTATATTGGTGAATTATGAGATAAAGTTTTTACAATCATTCCGCTAAATGACATATTATCTAAAAAACTTATTTTGGAAAATTTGGTATTATTTTTACGTTGGCAGTTTTGGGGCCAATGATGTACGTAGTGGAAAAGTTCCACTTTGAAATAGTCATAAAAGGAAAACTACTGGACCAAATGGTTATCAAACTTGGCAATGGTGTAAAGGGGGTCATGGAAATTTATTTCGCGAAAAACGTTCAAAAACTCACAAACCAGCGGGAGGAAATGGCACTGTATGCAATTTAATAAACCAAAATAAGACATGGAGACCTTGGTTTAAAATGTGTTTCTGTAACGTGTTACAAAGCATATTCAATGTGGCATCCACCATTTTTCGAAAGCAAGTTAAGTCGCATTACTGCATTCTTAACAGCGGCTCTTAGCATATCAGGAGAAATGTTACGGACATATCGGTGTATCGCATCTTTCAATTCCGCCAAATTGTTTAGATTATCATCATAAACAGCCTTCATGTCTTACAACCGAATTCCGGCTTCAAAAATCACAAATTAGCGATCTGTAAGAAAACGATTTCCGGAATGCGCACACGTTTTCGAATGATTTGCGGTCTCACATTTTCTAATCACCAATTTGCGGTTTTCATCAACGGATTTCTCCGTTACACGGATGGCGCATTCCACTTTTAACACCTTTAACGCCTTTAAATGGTAATTTTGCTTAGGTCAATGCTTCTTAGGATGTACAACTTGTTAAACCGGTTAACAAAAGGTTAAGTTAGGTTCCGACCCTTATTTCGTTTAAAAATATTGCATACAGCGCCATTTGCCCCCTGGTGGTGAGTTTTTTCCCTCTCTTCCCCCCTCGGAAAATAAATTCCCATAACCTCATTTACACGATTATCAGGTTTCATAACCCATTTGGTCCAGCAGTTTTCCTTTTATGACTATTTAAAAGTGGAACTTTAATTATAACCACCCTTGATAATCAATTGCCTTTGCAATAAAAAAAAAAGGTTAGCAATCATGATTATATTTTAATATTGTCCTGCAGACTTCGTTCGAGCTGTTTCTGAGATTGTTTCAACTTAAAAAACAGATAGATAAAACAAGTCTTTATGTTAAAATAAAATATTTTTTATTGCAAAATTATTTTTTATAGCCCAGAAGGGCTGTTAATCTTGTCTTGGCATTGCGTCGATTCACTGTAAACGGCGAATCAATTTTTAAGTTGTTGCCACAAAATATTATCGACCTGTGTAATATTTAAAAAAATTAAATGATGAAGAATCTGCATAAATGTATGTAAGTTTCTCGCATTGTGATAAAACAACCGTTTCTAGACCCATCGAATTTTGAATAACGTAATCTTCCAACGAATATGGGCATCTGGAAGTCTTAATTTGTACTTTGAAATTTGTTTTATTATCGATTTCATATTTTGTATCATTTCAACGAATTTTTAATTAAGAAACTCAACGATTTCAAAGCGAGCAATGGCAAAATTGTACAGAAAAAAAAAAAAAAAAAAAAAAAAAAAAAAAAAAAAAAAAGATCTCCAGCTCGCGAGACTGTGTATCGGAAATTCTAAAGATATGCTCATTTTAAAATCATTTTGCGATATTGCTGTTGAATTGAATTTTACGGTTTAAGTACAAAGAACATGACATTTAATAAATAAAGGTAGCACACAAAAGGTTAAAAAGTCCCTTTGGGCGTAATGTAAAATCTGAAAGCTTTCAGATTTTTTATTTTTATTATTTGAGTTTTATTAATTAAATATTAAATTAATTTTTTTAATGTTTTTTCATTTTCGTTAAAGATTGAATTGCAGTCTATTCTCTCTGAAGAAAGCAAATTGTGGATATTCTGGTATTTCTCTGCTTTCAAAAATAATAGGTCATATGATACTTCAGGAATATTCAGCGGCTACTGTCCTGACTCCAGTCTACAGTTTTTTCCCTGATAACTTTAGACGATATTCAACGACTTTTCGTTTTTAAGTTTAGTTTTATTTTGCCTAGGTTACTTACTCTAAAGCTTGAATTTTACTTGTGACTGCCGATGAATCACATCTAAATTTTTCTCATCTTTTTTCTTTCTTATTTATTTTTAACCAAATAACGTTGTAGATCTCAGGAAACAATTATGAGATACTTTCCTTTTAAAGCAGCCACTACGTTTAGTAGCCAGAATTGGTAAATTTCAATGCCCGGTTTTCGGTAAAAATTTCAGATGCCGTCAAGGCCACTTTAACAAGGAATATTAAAAATTATATCAATTAGATATCTAGATATCTAGCATTAATCTATTTAACAATCCATGTGCCGAATATAAATCAATCTTGTAAAGGGGTCGTTTTAGATAGAGTCATAGAAGAGTCCTGTATAGTGTAACAAGTATTTATTAACAGGTTTAAGTTACACACGGACATTACATTTAACTTTAAGAATATTACAGAGCAAGAGTCTAATACAACTATCAAGTGGAACGCTTGGCTTTTACTAAAGTACTTCTCTGGCTACTCATCAGAGGGCAGCCTTGTTGTCACAGTTAGTCCAACAGTTTATGTTACGGGATTGGTTACAAACTCCCCCTCTGGCTCCGCCGACAGGATACAGAACTTGAGGATTTGGGAGCTCTTATAACATTGTCTCTAGTCTACTACGTTTTTTTTTTTTTTTTTTTCCTGGGCAAGATGATCTCTTTTTGAAGCACTGTCCGCCGGAACCACAAGTTCTTGATTATTTCGGGAATGCAAGGTAACTTTTGACGGTCTACCTCTTTTCCTGAGCGGAAGAATGGGAGAAATGGACGAGTTAAAAACTTTGAAACTTTGACGAGTTAAAAACTTTGAAACTTTGACGAGTGGACGAGTTAAAAACTTTGGACTTTGAAAGGTGTTAGTGCAGACGCATGGTAAGTTCTTAAGGGTTCTGATGGTTTATGAAGGCTTGAAAGGACATAGGAGGTAGGTGATTTCTGTGTCATTACCAAGTATGGACCGTCAAGCTTTGGTATGAACTTTGAAGTCTTTTTGTTTTTTGCATTGCTAACGGGATGTAAATTGACCCATACCTTATCACCTGGTGAATAAAACACTTGTCGCCTTCCTTTATCATATTGCTTTTTACGTTGATCTTGCTTTATTTAGATACGCTTTCGTATGTCCTTTGTAATAGTTGCGAATCGTTTAAGATAAGGGGTGATTTCAGGAACAAAGTTCTCATTTTCATCACAGCTTTGAAATCGTGAACAACGTCGTCGACAGTCCTCAGCTCTTTTCCAAACATTAGGAATGCTGGTGTATGGCCTGTAGTGCCACAGACGGCCGTATTCATAGCGAAGCGAATAACTGTCTAGTTTCAAATGCCAGTTGTCATGCCCATCTCCTACTAGGATTGCAAGACGAGGTTTGAAGTCTCTATTTTTCCCGTTCCACAGGATTTGATTTGATTATACCATATGATTTTAACTACATTTTATCCTGCCTATTGTTAGAGCATTTTTCAGTCATTTCTGCCTGGACATTTTAAAGTCATTTCTCCATGCCTTCATCAGTATTTCACGTTCATTTCATCAATTCACTTGGTACTTGTTTAGGCATCTTGAATTTTACTCACCATTTGTCTGGCGCATAATAACCCTCGAGGTTTTGTGCCATTTAAAAAACCAACCAACTAACCAACAGGATTTGATTGAGGAAAGTAAACTGGTATCAAGTTTTGATTGATATTTCATGTGCAGCAAACTTGTTGCATGACTGCACTGATAAACTGGGTGCCGTTATCGCTGATGATTCTTCGTGATATACCATGCCGCATGAATACTTCTTCGATGAGGGTTATAGCGCAGTCGCGTGCTGTAGCTTGAGCAAGAGAAAATAATTCAACCCATCGCGTAGCACAGTCTTCGACAATGAAGATGCATTGTTTTCCAGTGTCGGTTTTTGGCAGTGGCCCAAACAAATCAATAGATATGATCTCAAAACGTTGAGAATAGACAGGGGTTCTTAGCAGTCCAGCTGGCTTTTGGTTGGTAGCCTTGTAGCGGTTGCATTCAGGATAGCTTTTCACATAGTCGGATATATACTTTTTCATACCAGTCCAATAATAGCGTCTGGCAATTCGTTGGAATGTTCCTTCCTCTCCATAAAGTCCAGCCATTGGGTCATCATGGTGCTTTCCCATGATTGATTCACGCCCGGCTAGCTCAGTCGATAGAGCACGAGACTTTTAATCTCGGGGACGTGGGTTCGAGCCCCACGTTGGGCGCCACTTTGTAAAGGGGTCGTTTTAGATAGGGTCATAGAAGAGTCCTGTATAGTGTAGCAAGTATTTATTAGCAGGTTTAAGTTACACACAGACATTACATTTAACTTTAAGAATATTACAGAACAAGAGTCTGCTACAACCTATCAAGTGGAACGCTTGGCTTTTACTAAAGTACTTCTCTGGCTACTCACCAGAGGGCAGCCTTGTTGTCACAGTTAGTCCAACAGTTTATGTTAAGGGATTGGTTACAATCTGAAATTTATCAGCCTAAGAGTCCCGGTTAGACTACACAGGATCCACCAGAAAAATGTTTGCACTCTTAAACAGGTGGTTTTACGTATTGATTCCGAAGTGGAAATGAATTATCTGTTCAATACATTTTGGTATTCTCATGACTGTAACATGCTACATAATGAAGCATGATAATGAATCGGAATGACATTTTAGGATCCTGATGGCCGTCGTGTAGCGCAGAAAATTACTTATGCTGGATGTTCTTCTTCAAGAAATTACAGTGCAGTAATCCCTGCACCGCAATGACGAAGTTTATTCAAGTAACCGCTGGACGTTGTTCTATGTATGTGGCCATTAAATGGCCACTACTCTGATATTTTAAGCACTCTAAATAAATATACAGAACAACGAGAACAGGTGCAGGAAGATTATATTAAACCTAACGTAAACGATGTTATGTATGTTTATATTAACCTATAAGTAAGTTCAGTTCTAACACACACAGTAAAACATTTTCTTTTGTTAAAGTGCATGCATTTTTTGATGGACACTGTAGAGATATTTTCCCCTTTTTCATTATTCTTTCTCATTTGCCGTGATCGTATTTCTAATCTGTTTTAAGAATTAACTGTTTCTTTAAATCTGGGTCACAAATTATTTCATTTCTATTTTCTTAACTTAAGCAGGGTATTAATTTTAGTCTACTTGTAAAGAATTAAATATATTCTCTCACGCACTTCATGCCATGTTTGTGGTGCAACAATTAAAATATCAAGCCAGTTATTTACACATCCCGTGTTCGACTCAGTGCAAAGACTCAATTTATTTTCAATTCTTCCTAGCTGCACAAACTCCTTTATATCTTTCTTACGTTTTAGGAGGAATTTTTAGAGAATCGAATAAATAAAAATAATCTGTGCCTCGCCTGAAGTGGAACGCAGAGACCACATAAAGCGAAATATAAAAGTGTAATCACAAGAGATAACAGGAATGTGCATAAAAGCGCATAGCAAAAGCCGAGTCCATAATAGGAGTGACTTTTAAAATATTTTATTGTTCACTTCAAAGTACTCATTATTCATTTCTGTTGTTTTTAAAATACTGTGATAGTGCACTGACAGTATGATAACGTCTAACTTACAGATTATCAGCAAAATGAAGATGGTCAGTACACATGTGAATTAAACTATGATCACAAGTAAGCAATGAACTAACTAGAAGATTCATTTAAAATTTTGAAGAACATTTCATGAAAAACAAAACACTAATAAATAAACAAACAAATGAAAATAAAATAATAGTATATAAAACAAAATTTACTATTTGTTCCTTCAGATTCCAATTTAACATAGTTTACATAAAATTATGTCTTCTGAGTTCAGAGTGTAAAACATGTGCCTAAAGCCAAATAAACTGAAAGTGAGCATGTTTTGGTAATGAGAAATAGTTATTCCTACAAAAGTTATGATACACAGATTTTTAAAAGGAAAAAGACTTTGAGGGATCGAAGGAAGAAAAAAAGAATTCTAACTTTTTTCAAAATGAAATAGAATTATCTTGCTTCTAATTTTATGTAAACCAATTACGAAGTGTAAACATTTCGAATTTTAAGAGTCAGTCTTTGTTAAAAAAGTACAAGATAACCGAAAATCATATTCATATAAATATTTATTTAGAAATGAAAATAAACAAATAAAACATGTCCTTACGTTTCAATAAAGTAAAAAAAAAAAAAAAACTGTATAGAATAGTGGTATTTAAACTATGGGTGACGACCTCATTTGGAATTGCGAAAATTTATAGTGGGGCCGCATAATGAATAAAATCCGAATTGATGGTATATAACTGAGGGTCTATCCTCTGACTGGAGTCACGAAATTATTTTTGGGAGTCATCTGCATTTTTATGAGGTTCGCACAGTTTGAATACCACTGGTATAGAATATAGCAGTTTACTTCAAAATTGTATTATTATTCAGTTTTATTTATTAAACGATAACAGTGAGTATTATTTGACGTTAAAAGAGCTGAAAAAAAAAAAAAAAAAAAAAAGAAGCTGAAAGTGATTTGCATGATTTTTTGTTGGAATGATTTTCAACAAATTTTGATTTGACAGTTCGGAATCTATAATTTCTATATAGTTTCTTTATCATGTATTTCGCCTCATTGAGAGGAAAGAAAATATTCAAATTTTGAAGGGCTACACACTTTATATTTCAAGGGTCTGAACTTATATCACTTTCAATATGCGGAGTTAACTCAGAGGTGACGTAATGCAAATTGTTCTTTTGAAACTATACTGATTTTCTACACAACTCTAATGTACCGAGTTTATTCAAACGTCATTTTAGACCTTCAGCACTCCGTGCCACCGACGCTCACAAACTAAATATGATAGGTTAAGCTATCATATTAAGATATTAAGCTTTCACCATCAAGTACTCGCATAAATGAGAATTACAGCATAATAAGAATAATAAAAACTACAGCAATCATGTACTTCCATAAATGATACAGCTGCACCATCGAAAGCCATCTTCAAAATAGCGTTGCTCACTGGGGGAAAGGCCAAGTAGCGGGTTACCACAAGCTGGGTTATTCAAACCTGATGCGAACTGCTATTTTGAAGCTTTGCTCCCTTCCTACTTATTGCACCGGGATTCACTCGTACACTCTTCGTATAATAAAAAATCTCTTGTAAATGATAGAAATACCACATATGCAAATCAAATTTGGAGTCTGACTGTCGTTGTGATTCATAAGTTTGACTTTTAGTGCAACAGGTCTACTTATATCACAATTGCACCTTCAAATATCATGCTACGGACTGTCAGAAGACAATGTAACAAGAGTAGATAGAAAATGGGGGTTCTGCGACAGGTGGATCAGTGGATCGGGGGCGTGGTCAATGACATCACAGAGGGCGGGGCCAAAGGCAACGTCATCACACTAGGAGGCGTGGTTTCGAGTGGAGTTGAGTTGTTCGTAGACTACTGATTGAGTTGTAGACCTCCTGCTTTTCATTAAAAGTTAGTTTTTTATAATTTGGCAACGGAGTCATGGCGTCCTCTAGGGACGAAAAAAGAAAATAATGTATTTAGGAATTGCTTATGGCGTCCTCTAGGGATGAAAAAAGAAAATAATCTATTTTAGAAGTTTCTTTTTTTTAAATGTTCTATGATTCAAAATATAGGATTGAACCCTGAAACAAAATATCTCACCAGCTGAGTAGTTTGAAGATTTTAACCACTAAGCTGACGGGATACATTCAGATTAATGGTAAAAAAGCCTATATAAGAAAATGGAATTTGAATCAGCTCATCAATTGCAATTATGCCTGCTCCAGGAGAAGCCACCGTTGCGATGTGTTTATACACTGTTTTATGTGTTATTTTATCATCCATCTATATTTTTACAGAATTTCATAAAATTCCTATTGATTTTACGCTACGTCTTAACGACAGTGGGAACTTATCATTATCCATATAAAGAATAATTCAATAGGTTATGAATATGAATTTATCGTATCAGGATCCGGCTCATGTTGCAAGTTTTGGTGGTGTTGAAGCTTTACATCGTGCTGCAGGAGGTAAAGTTTCCAGGATTCGAGTGGAGTTGAGTTGTTCGTAGACTACTGATTGAGTTGTAAACCTCCTGCTTTTCATTAAAAGTTAGTTTTTTTTAATTTGGCAACGGAGTCATGGCGTCCTCTAGGGATGAAAAAAGAAAATAATGTATTTAGGAATTGCTTATGGCGTCCTCTAGGGACGAAAAAAGAAAATAATCTATTTTAGAAGGTTCTTTTTTTTAAATGTTCTATGATTCAAAATTGAACCCTGAAACAAAATATCTGCTTTTCTGGAAAGGAATAACTGTTAAAAATATTGGAAAGAATAACATAATACTCATTAAAATTTCACACACACACACACACATGGGCTTTTATCGAAAGCCTCAGCTTTCTGACACCTGAGGGTCTCTCTTCACAGTTTCACAGTCATGGGGTTTTTTTGAATACCCAGGTGCCAGCCCCTTCCCATAACTCCACTGTGAAGTCATTGACCACATTAAAAATAATCCATTTTGTTTTCCATTAAAACATTATTATATTGATATGCCCATAGGCTAAGGAGTGTACTCCATCTTTTAAAATATATCTTTTATCATCAAAAGCTGAAAGTGCGATTTTATTTATAGCCATGGTAAAAAGATGATGGTTCCTTACTCTGAATATTATATTGTAATTCTCTGGTGAAGATAGATTTCTCTAAACAATCTCTATAATTTTTATGTTTAAGTTTCCTTTTAATAACACTTCGTTTAACTCCTTTCGCGGTTTTCTTCTCACTTTCATCCAACAGTAAAGAGTACATTTTCGCCCTCAGTCCTATAAACTCCAGTATTGGTTCGGAATTCATTTCATCTTTGAAGCATCCAATTTTCTTTTTATTGATATTGTATAAAGCATGAGTCTTCGGATAATCTGACATATCGTACAGATGCGTATGAAAACTCATATCTCGATATACATCTTCTGTTAAAATTTCGTACGTGAGAGAGTCTGTGTCAGTAAAAAGTAGCTTGGCTCTTTCTCCATATTGTTTTTTGATATGATTGTAATGAAAATTGTACATATGATATTTACTAAGTTCTAGTATGACAAATCCTACATATATGGGCCTGTTTAAACTAACACAGTTTTTCAACCTTTGTACTCCAACCAAATCATTATCAAAAATTCTGAAATTATGAAAGGTTGGTGCAGCT